AAACACATACTGAAAAATGAGGGTTAATGGGGATGGCAAGGATGATAGGTAGTCCTGGATATACTCCTGACTTCTTGAAGGAGACAAGTATCTAGAATATTCAAGGACGTAAAGTGCAGTTGAGAAAGCCAGGATGCAAACAAACACTTCCTAACTGTTGCCTCTTTTCTTGCTCCCTGCAGTTGAGAACTGCAGAAGAAAACGGGGATAGAGATAATGGGTAAAAACTTTTTAGTATTCTTTTAGCACTTCTCATTCTGAGTTAGACTGGAACAAAGTCACCATTTAGGTAACTTAGTTATCCTAGATCATCCTAAACTGGTTAAAAGGAAAAAGATTTTAAAAACTAGCTTGTCTATATGAATTCTTTGTACATATATAATTTAACCTTAACTAAAAGGTTAGGATGACTAGGGCTGCCACTATGCTGAAGACCACTGAACTGAATATAATACTGACATGGCAGAAGTGCCAGTTTTATCAGTGATACACGTTGTGTACTGCATTGGGGGCTTACTAGATGTGTGGCAGCATATACCCATTTATGAAGGCAGCACATCAGCAAGTAAAAACCTAAGTGGAGGTAGGAAATACCTAGAACACACGATGTTTTATGCAGCTGAACAGGACAACCCTGAAAAGACAAGAAATACGGTAATACCATAGTGACTAAGGTTGTCTTGACTCCCCCCCAACCACAATTATGAATCAAAACATGGAATCTTTTTTTTTTTTTTTTAAGGTAAATACCCTCTTTAGCTGAGTCCAAGACTTTGGATATTACATTACTGTACCTAAAAAGGGTAAAATGGTGGCGAGGCATGGTGGCTCATGCCTGCAATCCCAGCACTTTGGGAAGCCAAGGCGGGTGGATCATCTGAGGTCAGGAGATGAGACCAGCCTGGCCAACGTGGTGAAACCCCGTCTCTACTAAAAATACAAAAATTAGCTGGGCGTGGTGGCGCACGCTTGTGGTCCCAGCTACCCAGGAGACTGAAGCAGGAAAATCGCTTGAACGTAGGAGGTGGAGGTTGCAGTGAGCCAAGATGGCACCACTGCATTCCAGCCTCGGCAACAAGAAAGAGTAAAATGGTAACTATGCACAAAGGATGGGGGAAAGGTGGCTCACAGGGCTCAAATATCAGAGAATGGAGAGGACAGGACAATGAGGGAATTATCTGGAAGGTAGGTAACTGGATTGAGAACCACAAAAAGTATGTAGATTTAAGCAGATTACAAGACATTTTAAACAGCTGTTTCAAAGTAAGAGTAAAAACAGGCTGGAGAAAATCTTGGTAAAATTAGAGTAACATAGTCTAGGATAGCAATCCATCAGTTATAGAGATCACAGATAAGATATAGTCAGGGAAATTAGGATTCATGCTTGAAGAGTAATAGAAAAACCTAAGTGAAACAGGTTATTAAAATTTTCTTTATAAAGGATAAAACTGGAAGAGCTGATAGTCTGGAAAGGTGAAGTAATCTGGAGTAGGCAGCATACTTAAGGTATAACATTTGTGGAGAAGGCAAAAATTGGGGCAGAAAATATAACTGACAAGTGAATACTGCAGTCCTCTGGTGGGAGGTAGATCAGAAAGAATCTGTAGGACCATTTACTGTTCTTCACAGTCAGCTGCTCTTACACCCAGAGCAGTAGCTATCAATTTTATTGAAAACACACTCGACTTGGACATCCTGAGTCAAACTGTCATCACCTAAAGGGCCTGGATTTAGAAGGAATTTTCAAGATTATTGTAACTTCCGGGTTAAGTATTTAGGGAAAAAAATGTTAAAACTACTTTTCTTATACATGATTGGTGTGCTTTTTTTTTTTTTTTTTTTTTTTTTTTTTTTTTTTTTTTTTTTTTTTTTATCATCAATTTGACACTACAGTTCAGATTTGCTTCTGATCACATTGGAATATAGGTTTTACCAATGTTCATTATTTTTCAACTTCCTTTATTAAGACTGGTCCGGCACAGTGGCTCACGCCTGTAATCCCAGCACTTTGGGAAGCCGAGGTGGACAGATCATTTGTGGTCAGGAGTTTGAGACCGGTCTGGCCAAAATGGTGAAACCCCGTTTCTACTAAAAATACAAAAATTAGCCAGGTGTGGTAGCGTACTCCTGTAATCCCAGCTACTCAGAAGGCTGAGGCAGAATTGCTTGAACCCTGGAGGCAGAGGTTGCAGTGGCCTGAGATTGCGCCACTACACTCCAGCCTGGACCACAAAGCGAGACTCTGTCTCAAAAAAACAAACAAAAGACTGCACTAACGCCATCAACGTGCATATTGATTCGAAGGCATCTTGCAGCAATTTTTAAGTTACTGTACATATATATTTAAAAGCATATACTTTATTAGTGTGCTTATTAAGACGTTTAGGGAAAACTTTAAGTGTTCAAAATGTCAAGTTTGTTAGGCATCAATTTGTTAGTGTTTGGGAGTATTGCATTGGATGTCTGGGCAAAATTTTTTCCCCCCATAATATTAAATTATTGGCTGACAGTTAATGAATTTTGCCAATGAGTAAAATAATCAAGAAGTTACGAAAATGGTAAGATACTCAGCTATCTTGGCCTTCAAAACAGTCTATGGTGGATTCTAACTGAAATTTTATATATAAATGGTAAATAATCCACCAAACCCAAGGAGTTAACAATTAAAGTTGGCCTATTTATAGTTCACTTTAATAGCTACAATGGAAGATTCAATTTTGGAAACCCAAAAAGGTCAACTAATTTCAAAACTTCGGCAAGCTTCTATAACAATGTTACCCATTCCTTAGTAAACAAAAAAAGATCCAAAAAGCTATATTCACATTTTTTGCATTGGTTCACAAATTTAAATGAATTTAAATTACTTTTAGAATAGTAATTAGAAGCACTGGGCAGTATGGGAGTTGAGATGTGGGCTTTATTTGGCCCTTAGTAGCTGTGTGAGCTTGGGCAAATCACCTCAACAACTCTATCATCTAAAGGGGAGGGTTGGGACAGACTGTAATTCATGGACTCTTATGAATCCCCTAAAACTGTATGAAAAACTACCATGTATATACACTTTTTGGGGAAGCTGGTCCAGTTTTCATTAGGTTCTCAGAGGCAACCTTGATCCCCAAATAAGCTTGCTATATTAATCTTGCTATGATAACTACATAAGGTTATCACTTCTAAATTGTTCCAGTTCTAAATAGTTATTTCCTTGTCATAGGAAGAACTCTAAGATGGCTCCCAAGATTGGCTGGTATACATACTTCACATAATCCCCTCCCTTGACTGTGAACAGGATCTTTGAATATGATGGATATCACCCCTGTGATTGGACTACAATGCAGGGCAAAGGTGAAGGGATTTTGCAGGTGTAATGAAGGTACTTCATCAGTTTGGCTTTGGGTTAATCAAAAGGGAGATCATCCTGGTAGGTAGGTGGCCTGATCTAATCAGGTGAGACCTTTAAAAGAGCGCTTAAGGCCCTCCCTGAGATCAGAGGTTCTCTTGCTGGCCTTGAAGAAGTTGCCACGATTTCTTCAGTTGCTAGGCAATGGATTTTGCCATATGTGCATAGAAGAGCACCCCCTAGCTTCAGATAAGACTGCAGCTCTGGCTGACACCTTTATTGCAGCATTGTGAGATCCTGAGCAGAAAACCATAACTAGACTCTTGATCCACAGGAATTGTGAAATAACGTGTTGTGTTTTAAGACACTAAGTTTATGGTAATTATACAAAAATTACACAGCAATTATTCTCTAAAGCCAAAATTTAGCTTAATCTTCGTAACTTTTTCCTTGACGAAACTGAGGCAATGGAGAATCCAAAAAGGGTGCCCCATAAATTAATGTTACAATAAACCCGGTCATTTTACAGTGCAGTTATACCTTTAAAGAAACAAAAAACTCCTCACCCTATAAAGTGCTGCTGAGGTGAGCCTAAATGATACACTCCCTTTCCCCCAAATTATTCCAGATCCATTTTTAATGATTAATAGATAGCTCTAATTATAGAAATGCTCCAGGTTTGGTCCAGAGCAATGTGGAAAGTATTATTTCCACCATAACACACAATTACCAAAGTCTTTGAAAATTACAAAGGAAATATATTCAAAGATAGATTTTAGACTAGGGTGTCTCACACACCCGTAATATAATATTCTTATTTTTATAGCACTTGAGGTGGTCTCAATGCTCAAAAAGACAGTTTCAGACATGAAATGTTAAGAACATTTAGCTTATTAGGCATATTATTCTATGCCCCATCCCCATCAGAAATAAGCCTGTGTTAAAAATGATCAATTTCCTATATCATTGGAGAATTAAAAAAAAAAAAAAGTGTTTAACTCAGGTAACCGTGGTGAACTGTCAACTGTACTGAAACAATTTCAGAGACAGAAAAGCCCTTCCTAGAATTTCTACTAGAAAATCAATGTTCTATATGAGGCTATAGATGGAAATAAAATATTTAAACGATAAGGTAGTCCTTATACCCAGAGATATTAATATCACCCTTACCTATTTTCCGTATCACTATTCTATACAATAATTTGTATATAAAATTTGTATACAAGCTTACTGGCTTACTTTGAATCCAATATTTTTTACTAAAAAACACAAATTATATAAAGTATTGCTGTGTTCACCTTCCAATTACTGAAACCTGTACTATGCTTTGTGTACAATCCATCGTTTGGAGCTGTATGTTGAAGATACAGCAATACTTAAAATACAGTTCAAGTTGTCTCGGTCTGTTTTACTGTAGAACGAACGAAAGTTAAAACCTTGGTTTGGATGGGGAGAAAACAGAAGCACAGATGGTGTCAACTGGACAAATTCAATGGGCTAAAATATTACTATGTCCATACGGAAATGACAGAACTGAAGAAATTTCTTGTTATGCTGGTTCTAGGTAAAAAGACAAGAAGCTAATGTAAGCCATTGAATTATACTCTAACTTTACAAAAAAAAAAAAAAAAAAAATCCACACATCACACACACACACCCCATGTAAAACATTGCTTTAAGTTTTAATGTTTATTTCCCCAAGACAGCCTAGCCTGCACTCTACTTGGATAAATTTTACAAGCTAGTTTTCTGCTGCTTCTAGTTTTAAACTTTAACCATGTTTCTGATGACAAGGAATGCTGCAAAAATACTCTAGTTCAACAAAGAGTTATGATCACAAAATAATTTTTATCCATTCTACAGTGTTTCAGAATTACCAGTTGATTTTTAAACACAAAGTAGATATAGATGCTAATGGTGGCTAATCTGGTATGTTTCTTATAGCAAACTGTTGTTCATGCAACACTTGTGCTCAAAGGGGAAGGCACAGGATTTCCTACAATGAGCCACCTTATAAAGAGTTCTTTTTGTACAAATTAATTTATGTCACATTTAATTTAGTGTGCATAACCTCAAAACTGAGGTATTATTCCAATTTATAAAAACCACTTGCATAACTTTTATGCAAGTTTTAAAAATACAAAGTTTTCTCCCTAAAGTGGCTCAAAATAGATTGTTCATGGCTGCCTACATCTAAGATAAAAAGATTCTAAAACAATTGAACAGATTAGGCATATTATTAAAGGTGTTCAAACCATTACTTGATTTGTACATCTACTCAAACCTCTTCATCGGTCTTTATTCAGCAGTACATATGCACCAAATTCCATTTTAGAAGTTTCCATATCATTTTCATAGAAAACAAGGTTTGAAAACAAGTAACATTTAAACACAGCACGGTATTCTACCACAACTGAAACTTTTTTCTTCTTCTTCTTTACAGGACTCAACAAAATCTAAAAATGAACTATGCTGTAGATTTACCTCATGCAAAGATCTTTATGTTATCTCTGAAAATGAAAAGGATGGCCTTTTAAGCACATTTTACTGTTTTATACTATTATGGCAACTTGTGTACTGCAACACAGTCTATTTTGAGGGAAATTTATGATTTTTTTTCATGCAAAAATCTACACAAATTAGTTTTGATGATATGGAAAGCTTTTCATAGCATCAAACATTCATCTGGTGCAAATGCACAGGGAAACCTTCCTGAAAAGTTTTCTGACTTGAGAAGCAACTAAAAAAAAGGCATACTAGGTAAAGTAAATAAAGACTTAAAAAAAAAAAAAAAGGAAAAAAAAAAAAGAGTGGGGTGGGGGGAAGGAGGTGGGAAAGGGGCAAAGAGAAAACACAGGCTGCAGAGTAAACCAATGTCTGCTGCTAAACCAGTCTTTGTTTTCATGTCCAGTGTACATTAACACTTATGATCTCATTTTGATGATTTACTAGGTTTGTTATCAGCCCCCTGAAGGTGAATCAAGCTTGCATGCGTTCACATACAGCACCACAACCACGCTCTCGTACACAGTCACTCCAGGACTAGGAGTCTGCTTCATGAGTGAAGAGCCCTAGATTTCAAAGATGAACCTGGCTCTCCATCACTGAGCCAGACATTCATTCAACATTGTCCATTCACACACTGCTTCATAGCAAGGCCTGGGCTCATTTTCCTTTGACTTATATGGGCAGCCTATTCTCTTTTATGTTTACAAGGCTTGAAGATGACAGTACTGCACTTTCCCCTCAATTGATATAGAGTAAGTCAATGTTCTTTCTCAGGCACTGACGATCTGTGACCTGTAGCCCTTTTTACTTTGAACAACCTAAATAAGCGTTCATGTAAAGTTTTCATTACATTTTGCCACTCATTCTCACTCGCACCCACTCGCCATCTTGACCTCATTTGGGCATTTTCTGTGATTCCAAATGAAATCTTCACATTTTCTTTCCCGATTTAATGCAGCAGCAGATCCCATGAGCCAAGCTTGATGGATCAAACCTTTTTATATATATGTATATATATATATATATATATATATCTCAGTGCTGCATTGTACCTAACTTCCACAACATCTTTCTAAAACTGGAACCCTTCTGTTGGTACATTGGCAGATGAATTGAAACCAAATGTTCCGCCTTGAATCGCCTCTGGAACAAGGCTAGGGTCTTCATCAATCTAGGTGAAAAAAAGGAAAATAATGTGATAATTAGTTTAAAAAATATATAAATAGTATTATAGTACTAATTCCCTTACCCTTAAAAAAGAGTCTGGAAAGATGATGAATGCCAACGCTGTCTTACCATTCTTTAGAAAACTGAAACACTTTATAAAAGGTTTTTTTTGTTTTTTTTTTTTTTTTTTAAAATGGGGTCTTACTCTGTCACCCAGGCTGGAGATCAGTGCCACAAACATGGCTCATTGCAGCCTCAACCTCTTGGGCTCAAGTGATCCTCCCACCTCAGCCTCCCGAGTAGCTGGGACTACAGGTATGCACCACCATGTCTGGCTAATTTTTGTATTTTTTGTAGAGATGGAGTTTCACCATATTGCCCAGGCTGGTCTCAAACTCCTAAGCTCAAGCAATCTGCCTGCCTTGGCCTCCCAAAGTGTTGAGATTACAGGTGTGACCCACTGTGCCTACTCAAGGCTTTTTCTCAAGGGATGCCAAAATGAGAAAAAACTTAGAATATGTAAGACAGGCATTTTCCAAAAGAATGAAGGAACAGTAATGATGGCCGTAAGTCTCAAATAGAGGATGCAAAATTTGGTACTCGATTTCCCTTAAACCTGGGCAAGTATGGCTGGGCACGGTGGCTCACGCCTGTAATCCCAGCACTGTGGGAGGCCAAAGCGGGTGGATCACCTGAGGTCAGGAGTTCAAGACCAGCCTGGACAATGTGGCAAAACCCCATCTCTACTAAAAATACAAAAATTAGCTGGGCGTGGTGGTATGCGCCTATAATCCCAGCTACTTGGGAGGTTGAGGCAGGAGAATTGCTTGAACCTGGGAGGCAGAGGTTGCAGTGAGCCAAGATTGTGCCACTGTACTCCAGCCTGAGTGACACAGTAAGATTTTTTTAAAAAAAAAAAAAAAAAAAAACCAAAAACCCAAAAAAACCACAAAAGCCTGGGCAAGTACATAAAGACAATGACATTAAAAAAGAAAATTAATGCCACCACTTTTGGAAAGTAAGTGAATCTTTGGTATATATCTTTCAATAGCAATTGGAGACAAATGGTATTTGGGCTTAAAATAGTAAAATACAGATTGAGTATCCCTAATCTGAAAGTCCAAAACAAAAAATACTCCAAAATCTGAAACTTTCTAGGCACCAATATGATGTTCAAAGGAAATGCTCATTGGAACATTTTGAATTTCATATGCTCAAGTGGTAGAAATAATTTAAATATTCTAAAATTCAAAAAAATCCCAAATCCAAAACTGTTCTGGTCCCATGCATTTCAGATAAGGGATACTCAACCTATAACAGTTCTGCTAATAATGGTTATTCTTATTATATACATTATTCTACATGCTTTACACCTAAAAGTTCCTTTTTGAAATTCCACAATATTACAAACCTGCAGTGTACTTCCTATAACTATGTATATCATCTGAATTATTCTTTTCACAATCTAAGACAAGAACAAAAACTACATGTTGAGGTATTAGAAATTATAAGCCTATTACAATTAGTCACCATATTGCAAATTATGATTTTCAAAAATCCAACTTTAAGACATACGATCAAAGTTACCCTTAAAAGAATATGCCAGGCTGGGCGTGGTGGCTCATGCCTATAATCCCAGCTCTTTGGGAGGCCAAGATGGGAGGATTGTTTGAGTCCAGGAGTTCGAGATCAGCCAGGGCAACATAGACAGATCTTGTCTCTACAAAAGACTTAAAAAGTTATCTGGGCATATTGGCATGAACTTGTAATCCCAGCAATTTGGGAGGCTGAGGTGGGAGGATCACCTGAGCCAGGGAGGGGGAGGTTGCAGTGGGCTGTGACTGTGCCAATGCACTCCAGCCTGGGCCTCGTCTTAAAACAAAACAAAACCTTTTCTGAATTTTATTTCTGGTTTAACTGGCCTTATATTCTAAATAGGACTAAGCTTAGACAACTATAAGTAAATAGTCTATAATTTTCTTTTCTAATATTGTCCTTGTCAAGTTAATGTCCAAACTATACATGCTTAACAACATGTTTAATAACATTCTATTCTTTTTGATAATATGGAAAGGCATACAATAAAATACTTATACTTTGAAAAGTTGAGAAATCATTCAAGAAATCCTCTGGTGGCTGCACTGAACCACTATAAAATTTTCTAAGGAGCAACTGGTTTAATTTTAGATTTACTTTTCCAAAGAGGAAATACTAAAAATAAGTTAATACTTTAATTTCCACTACTATTACTAACAATCTGAAGATATTTTTGTATACTATACCTTACATTATACAGTGCCTTACATTTTTATTTCCATCTTTCTATTTTCATATTTGTTTTTGGTCATGAAATAAAAGTAACAGTGACCATCCATTCAAGTGTGGATTAACTACTGTCATAAAGAACTTATTATAGGATATACTAGTATCACTGTTTTGTTTATAAATATAGTATGCTATTAACAATTTAAAAAAATGAGAACTATAAAGACACCAAGTGAAAATAAAGTCTGACTCATCTAGTTTGGTCAAAAAAGTCCTTATCTTCTTGCCATTAGAGCTAATATGCCCCGAAGGGATCTTAAAATATTGAAATATTTATGTTTTCAAAGCTGGTGACATTACTGTCATACATCTATTTTAATTCCATTCCAAAAAAATACATACATGTACATCCCCCTAGCTTACTATATATATATAACTTCATCCAGATCTATGTTTATATATAAAACTAAGAAAACTACAAAATTATTAAATACATCATCTGAAGAGAAGAACTGATCAATGATCTCATAGGCCAATTTGTAGATGTCTTCATTTTCATGGTTTTGAAGTTGTTCAATTTTCTCCAGTCCTGCAAGAAATTTTGTAATGTGAAACAACAGTAATATTTAAAGAGCAGTGACAAGTTAGAATAATCTTTGGAACACACAACCCAATTTCTGAATTGCAAATTTTTTGAATTACAATTTTTTGGAATTTAAAGGTGAATCTTAAATATAAAAAACCTTTATGCACAAAGATATAGCATATTTATCTTAAAATTAACAACCTGAGTATTTAACTGCTTGTAAATGTGTAAGTAATGAGACATCTGCCTATTCATCAGAATACATAACCAATCTTTATAAGCAGTAATAACATGTAAAATTCCATTTGTTTAAGTAAAAAGCAGAATCTTCCTACTTTCCAGCACCTGCCAAGTTTTTCTACTGAGCATGTATGAAAAAAAAAAATTAAAAATACTGGTGATTAATAAATATGATGCTTAAGATACCTGTTAAGTTTACTGGAAAATGATGAAGATCTAACACAGTATTTCAGGGGAAAAGATAATTTTCCCTGTAAACGTTAATGAGAATTATAGGCAGAAACACTAAAAAGTACATACTTAACTTGCTGATATGCAAATTGGATCCTGTTTTACTTTAGAGGAAAAATAATTTTAAAGTCTTTGAAAAAAGTGAAATTGCCCCTTCATGAGTGTTCTTCCTCTATCCATTTCTTAAACGGAGGAAGTTATCTTAGCCTCATTTCTCACCTACACACTCATTGTGGTGATCTTCCCATTAAAAAATTTGGTTACTACATATAGGCTGAGGACTTGCAAATCTATAGCTTCATTTATTTTCTGAGCTTCACATGCATAAAATTAAAATGTTTGTGTAATTCTACCAGGAAATTTCATAGCTACCTAAAACTCAAACTGTCCAAAACACAATTTGTTATTTGCCTTCCTCATTTAAACAGTTCATCCTACAGTTGTATTCTTACTTGGTGATAATCAACAATAGCTTGAAATCTAAGAAAAAGCCCAAGTTCCCCTTTCCCTCAATATCCCACAATCAAACCTCAAAAACTTGAAAGTCCATCCACTGGACTTTAAATCTCCTCATCTCCCCTTTGTCTCTATTACTACGACTGCTTTCATTTATTATGGCTTGGCCACTATATACTTACTTTCTTTTTTTTTTTTTTTTTTTTTTAAAAGACAGAGTCTCACTCTGTCACCCAGGCTGGAGTACAGTGGCGTGATCTCGGGGCTCATTGCAGCCTCTGCCTCCTGGGTTCAAACGATTCTCATGCCTCAGCCTCCGGAGCAGCTAGGATTACAGGTGTGTGTCACCACGCCCGGCTAATTTTTTATATTTTTAGTAGACACGAGGTTTCATGATGCTGACCAGGCTGTTCTTGAGCTTCTGGCCTCAGGTGATCTGCCTACCTTGGCCTCCCAAAGTGCTGGGATTACAGGTGTGAGCCACTGCGCCTGGCCATAAATACTTTCTTAACTGGTCTCTTCCTGCCTCCTGTCTTCATTTCATTTCAAGCCGTCATTCCAAAGGCTTCATTTCCCAGATATCCATGTTCCATCTGAACATATCCATCCCCTAGATCAATCAGCAATGGCCTGTCACCTCCTGTGGCACACTGGGGATTCCTGGGTCTTACCTCCAACGAGGTAGGCAATGTCCAAGAACTCATATTTTTATTTGAATGTATAAAGATATTTTAGTAATTAAAATGTTTACAAGTTAAAAAAAATCAAGTAGTAAAAATAATTAAGTATTCCTATTGTTATTTTTTTGTTACTTAATCCTTAATTAGTTCTGTAACACTATTCCCCATCTCTTGTTCCTAACTTGATAGTCACAGATTTTTTTATTGTTGTTGTTCTATCAGTCACTTTAGTAATTTTAAGTATATCTTTTATTACATTAATTTTGAAGCCTCTCAACATTCCCACTTAGTTGAAGTTATGAGTTCTACTTTTGCAGTTACCTCTCTTTTCATTAACTTTTCACCTTCTGTCAGAAATACCTTTACTTTTGTGCTTATCCAGATAGATAACATTTACATTGTGTTACACAGCCACATTTGAAACTTTTATGTTCTGTCTGTATATTAACTCTAAGACTTGAAAGCTAATAAGTATTGTTTACATTCCAGGAGGCTCTGGTACATGGCCATGTTTGGAAACTACTGCCCTAAAGAATAAAGCATCTGCTGTGCCATAAAGCTTCAGACTTCACAGGAGGCCGGGCGCAGTGGCTCAAGCCTGTAATCTCAGCACTCTGGGAGGCCAAGGCCAGTGGATCACCTGAGGTCAGGAGTTCAAGAGCAGCCTGACCAACATGGTGAAACCCCGTCTCTACCAAAAATGCAAAAAATTAGCTGGGCGTGGTGGCAGGCACCTGTAATACCAGCTATTCAGGAGGCTGAGGCAGAAGAATTGTTCGAACTTGGGAGGCGGAGGTTGCAGTGAGCCAAGATCGTGCCACCGCACTCCAGCCTGGGAACAGAGCAACACTCTGTCTCCAAAAAAAAAAAAAAAAAAAAAAAAAAAAAGCCTTCACAGGACGCTGGTTACTTCTCCAGCTTTGTCTCTTGGTGGTTTCTACCCCATACTGTGTGATTCAGCAACACTGAACTACTTATAATTTGCTGAATGCTATTTCTCACCTCAGACTTTGCTCATGGTGTTATCTCTGCCTGGAACACCTTTCATCCCTTTTTACTTTATTAATCCTTATTCATCTCTCAAAATCCAGCTCAGGTGCACTTCCTGCTTCTTCCAGAATGGATTAGGCATCCCATTTTGTTGTACATTTCTATTAGGGTAATTAGCACATTACATCAGTTCATGTTTATCAAGACTAGACTACATGCCTTGAGGTCAAGGACTGTGTCTTGTTTACCACTGTCTTCCCAATAACTTATCACAGTGCCTGTTCAATATATGGCAGCAATTCAGTTACCTAAGCATATGTAAGAGGCTGAGCAGGACTGTACATATAGAATGTAATACTGATTTTATTCTGTTACTTCAATATCTAAGACAGAAAAACACAGATGTGCTCTATTAGTCGGCAAATAAAGGTAGTTACAAAGAGAACTTTAAGAAGTGGAATAAGAGCTTATAATAAACTTACCTCCACATTCTTCTATAAGATTGCCTATGGTTTCTGCCTCATCTTCAGCCATTTTTAATATATTACTTAGTCCATCGAGTACTACTTGCACAACTTGTGCATCTTTTACAGTCAGCAAGTTGCAAAAAGGTGGGATAACATTTTGCTGGATAAGGTAAGCCACCTGAAGAAAAAAAACAACATAAAACAATGCAACATAGGTAAACTTTGTGTGCCATGTTATCTCACTGGAATAATTCTGATTTTGAAATTTTGAGTATAGAAATATGACCTCATCTCTCTCATGTTAAGTGTGTCTACATTATTAATCTAACCTTTTTTTTAAAAATTTAGTTTCCTTTTTCCTGAACTTAGAAAAAAACAACATAAAGTTAAAATAAAGGAATCACTCAACTTCATATTAAACATTTCTTTGCCATAAGAAATATTTCCCTCAAAGACTTTTTTCCCTTTAAGAGTAAGAAATTATGAAATCAGTTAAGGAGGCTGTTAATGGAGGCTGTATGCTATTTTTATTTAATTAAATTAATTAATTTAATATATAGAGATGGTGTCTCACTATGTTACCCAGGATTTCTTTCTTTATTTATTTAATATACAGAGATGGGGTCTCACTATGTTGCCCAGGCTGGTCTTCAACTCCGGAACTCAAGAGATCCTCCTGCCTCGGCCTCACAAAATGCTAGGATTATATGCATGAGCCACTGCATCCAGCCTGGATACTAGTTTCAAAAAACTACAACGGTTCAATGTGACAGCATCCAGTGGCTCTCATGTGCCTGGCTACCTCTCAATTCACTATTCTATTGATTTCATAATAGTTTCCAATGATTTCAATATTTTATTAGTTATAATCTCCATGCATTATATTAATATTTCTGTTCTGCTCTATATTTATGTGAATTCACTGATAACCACCAGTCCACAGCTTTTTTGTTACAGTTATCAATTTACTGCTACTATTCAACTCTAAATTTGTTTTTACCTACTCTGAAACAGATCTCACCTCTTTAAAACTGCTTTTCCTTTGCCAGTTAGCACAATGTTAAGCTTTGTCACCTGCATGACCTGAGAGTGGGTGCCTCCTTTCCTAGACATCTTATATTCCTCACCCTAGTTCCTAAGTCCTAGCCATCTGGTTGAGTTTTTAATTCCTTGTTTGGTTTGCTGCTGAATTTGTTATTGTTGCTGTCTTTTTACTTTTTGTTGTTGCTGTTCATTTGTTAGCAGTTTCTTTCTTCCATATTAACTTAAGAAGTCTGTTCATTTCTAATACTGTTAAAAAAAAACAAAAAATTCCTGACTATAGGGGCCTCAATTTTACCACAGATTAAAAAATTCTTGTAGGCCAACAAATTGGCAAAAAGAACACTTCTATGAAGTATGACTAAAGGAAGTCAAGGTGATACTTCTATGTGAAAAAGAAAGTTATATACCTGTTATATAAAAGTTAGTACCTGTTATCTTGCTATTATTTTATTTTTTTAATAGAGATGTGGTCTCACTGTGATGCCCAGGCCAGTCACAAACTCCTGGCCTCGGGTGATCCTCCAGCCTTGGCCTGCCAGAGTGTTGCTATTATTTTAAATTATAACTTATTCAAATCTAAATCAAAATTACCTGTACTTTTATTTTACCAGTTTTGAGAAATAAATTTTAAAAATCTCAACTTACTTGATCTTTCCTTCCACTAATTGTTAAGTTACTTATGGCCCAAGCAGCTTCTTTTTGAGTGCCAAAATCCCCCTGTAAAAAGGCAAAGCAAAAGGGTATAAAAATGGCCACATAAACTGGAAAAAATGTTTGCTGTGATGATTTTTCAACTGCTTATTTCCCAAGGTCTCCTTTTAGTCTTTCTGTATACATCATTTTTTCTTAAGACAGGTCTTTGAACTATACCCAATCTACCCTAAATACATGGAGACACTTTTCTGTGAACTCTCCTGGATACAAACTGAGTTGGTATTATTATTTAATAATATCAGATTAAATGAAGTTGGTGATAAAATGAAATAAAAATAGTAAAGAAAAAAATTTAAAAATCTACAATATCACTAGTCACGTAAACTAACATATTCTTTTACACACAAAGCTTTTACACACAAAAATGATACCCACCATTAATGAAACTATGATCAAGATGTTATATATTGCCTTTCAAATATGAAATGAAGAAATATTTAAAAGTCATTAAAAAATTCATATATATAAACTTCATAATCTCATTTTTGAGAATTCACCAAGAAAATAATATAAAGCAGAGTAATCCTTTCTATATATGGTTATCCCAGCACCGTAATAGCTAGAAAGTAAAAACAACTAAAATTCTCAATAAGCATAATTGTCTTATTATGGTAAATCTACTGAATAAGCAACTATTAAATATTAAGACAACTGGCAACCTGAAAAAATGCTTATGATGTATTAAAAAACCATATAAGTAAAAGAAATGCAAATTAAAATATCCATATCTCCTTTCATATTTATCAGAATAAGGAAATCTAAATATTTGTGTGTGAGGCTGGTAGGAGTATAAAATGGCATAATTCTTGTAGAGGGGAATTAGCCCTATAATAGCAAAATTTACATATATGTTTTTCTGTAGATCCAGTAATCTCAAATATAATTGGGCAAAAACATTAAAAAAAACTTACAAGCTATTCTATTTTTTTTTTTTTTTGTTTTGTTTTGAGAGGATCTCGCTGTTGCCTAGGCTGGAATGCAGTGGCGCAATCTCAGCTCACTGTAACCTCCACCTCCTGGGTTCAAGTGATTCTTCCACCTCAGTCTGCTGAGTAGCTGGAATTACAGGCATGTGCCACCACGCCTGGCTAGTTTTTGTATTTTTTGGTAGAGACGAGATTTCCCCATGTTGGCCAGGCTGGTCTTGAACCCCTGACCTCAACTGATCTGCCCGCCTCAGTCTCCCAAGTGCTGGGATTACAGGTGTGAGCCACTGCACCCAGCCACAAGCTATTCTTTTTTCTTTTATTTATTTATTTATTTATTTATTTATTGAGACAGGTCTCGCCCTGACGCCTAGGCTGGAGTGCAGTGGCACAATCTTGGCTCACTGCAAGCTCTGCCTCCTGGGTTCATGCCATTCTCCTGCCTCAGCCTCCTGAGTAGCTGGGACTACAGGCGCCCACCACCACACCCGGCTAATTTTTTGTATTTTTAGTACAGATGGAGTTTCGCCATGTTAGCCAGGATGGTCTCGATCTCCTGACCTCGTGATCTGTCCGCCTCGGCCTCCCAAAGTGTTGGGATTACAGGTATGAGCCACCGCACCCGGCAGCTATTCTTTAAAGTTCTGTTTAACAACAAACACTGGAGACATCTCAAATATCATCAATAATAGATTGACTTAATACATTATAGTGCATCCGTACAATGCAGTACTATGTAGCTATGAAAGGAGTAAGAAAAACAAGGAATAAGAAAAAAAAAAACAAACAAGGAATAAAGAAGCCCTCTATATAGTGCTATGGAAGTGACACTGTTTTTAAGTACATTACTCAAGAAATACATTCTAAAGGAAACCAATGTCAAAGAAATCTTAAAAGTACGTTCAGTACTCATGCTGTCAGGGGCAATATGGCTTTGTTTTTTTTAATATATATATATATCAAAATATATATTTGCATCTCTTTTGTCTCATGCTGAAAATTAGGATAGTTTTTTTTTGGTCTTTGGGATATATGTCATCAATGATGTACTTAAAAATAATGTATATTGACATATATCCACAGATCTATACATACCAATATATAAGAAAAATAATTATGTTAATGTTTTTAGGAAGATTTTCAGCATAAAAGAGATGTAAATATAAAATCACAGGAATAAAAATTAAAAACTGTTATGTTAAATATCCAATAATATTTAATAGCTTCCTTTCACTCATGATTCATTTTTTATGAACTCTCATGTTCCTGAACTCATCTTTCACTTTCTACAACAATGCCTATCATTTACTTGGTTTACTCAGACCTAGAAAAAATGACAACACTGTAACAATGATCATCTTTATGGATGAAATATGATCCTTAAACACCATTCTCTACAAAACAAGATCAAGATATCATAGAAAAATAGTTAATTCCAGTTCTAGATCAGAAAACATGTAAGATAGGCTGGGAATCATATCATATCCAAAAGGTGTAGCTCTCAAAAACTAGTGATAACATAAAAGACACAGGTCACCAATTCTAAGAGGTTCCTGTTGGTCAGGAACAAACAGAGTGTCAAAAAGAGTAAACTAAAATGGATTATAACTTGCAAAATATATTTTAAAAATTCATAATTTCCAAATGACACTAAAAAAATCTACTCTGGTCTGCTTTCAAGGTTATTAGGAAATGTGTCATTCTAAAAAATGACTGATAAGGACAAAGAATCAAACATTTATCTTGCCTATCCTAAATGAACTATATTTCAAAGTATTAATAAACAACAGCTGAGAAAGAAATGCTCTTGGCCGGGCGTGGATGGCTCACACCTGTAATCCCACCACTTTGGAAGGCTGAGGTGGGTGGATCACTTGAGGTCAGGAGTTGGAGACCAGCCTGGCCAACATGGTGAAACCTTGTCTCTACTAAAAATACAAAAATTAGCTGGGTGTGGTGGCGTGTGCCTGTAGTCCCAGCTACTTGGGAGGCTGACGCACAAGAATCACCTAAACCTGGGAGGTGGAGATTGCCAGTGAGCCAAGATCGTGTCACTGCACTCCAGCTTGGGTGACAGCGAGACCGTCTAAAAAAAACAAAAACAAAAACAAAAAAACAAGACAAGTTCTTTACTAAAGAATTATGGCCAACACACAAAAAATGACAGAATTAGAAAGTCACCATTTTGCAACTCCTAGTAAAACAAGGGACCCTAACAATGATCACCAATGGCTACCTAAAAACCATAGGTGAAAGATTAATGGATAACTTTATAACCATCAGCTGGAATAGGCTGTAACACCTGAGGTCAGTCGTCAATCTTAATATCACTACATGTAAGACAGATTGTGTCTCCTTATGTAAATCATTAGGAAATAAGAGTTATGCATGACATATTCTTGCCTAAAAAACTGAACTCGATTTACAGGAAACAAAAACAGATTTATCTTCTCTTTAATTACAGATCAGTGTTCAGAACCCTCATGCTGTGATTGTTTCTTCTACTTTATGTGTGTGTGTGTGTGTGTTTTTTTTTTTTGAGACACGGTCTTGCTCTGTCACTCAGGCTGGAATGCAGTGGCATGACTGTGGCTCACCACAGCCTCAACCTCCCGGATTCAAATGATCCTCCCACCGCAGCCTCCTGAGTAGCTGGAACCACAGGTGCATGCTACCACACCTGGTTAATTTCTTTTTTTAAAAAAACTTTTTGTAGAGATGGAGTCCCCCTATGTTGCCCAGGCTGGTCTTGAACTCCTGGGCTCAAGTGATCCCCCTGCTTTGGCCTCCCAGACTGCTGGGATTATAGGCGAGAGCCACTGCACCCACCCTCATGCTGTAATTGCGATAAGCTGTTTCTCCCAAATGCTAATATGAGCATGAGAGATGATAGGAAATATATGGCATACAATAGCATACTTATTTCCTATCTGATTTTGGACAATTTATTTGTCTATACCAGGGTTTCTTCATCTATCAAGTGGGGATAATCCCTAATCTTATAGGCTTAATCTCATTAAATGAGGTAATGTATGTAAAGTGCTTAGAATACTATGTAAGCATTTATTATCAACAGTAACAATATGAAATTTTAGTATGGCCTACGATAATGGCAATTTTGGTAAAAGAATGATACAGAGAAAGGGCTAGGATTTGCCCCCAACCCCCCAAAAAGTTTCTTGTATATAAAAACTGCTAGGTTCAAAAGTTGTAATAATATTACTTTACTGTATTCATGCCACTGTATAGCTTCTAATTAAACAGAAAAGTATAAATTCACATAATGTCTTAGATTTAAATCCCCTTCCCCTTACATCAGATACACGATACATACAACATGATTTTCTTACCTTATCCAAAAGGTGTATTATCATTGGTACAAGATTGGCATCAATTACTGCTTGTACCTGCTGCTGATTTCCTGCAGTGATGTTGGAGAGGAACCACACTGCTTCCTGTAAAACAAGAGCATTTGAATATTTCTCATTAAAAAATAAAATGTGCATATGAACTAAGAAAAAAAAAAATTCACTACACTGTCCCAATGATTTTATTGTGAAATGAGCTCCATAATAAAAATATCAGGAATCTCAATTCCCTTACACCCCCTTTCCATATTTTCTTTGGACAAATAGCTAATGGACCTAATTCAAATCACAATGAACTAATTTCAAGAATTCTGAAGAATTCTTGAAAACAATGCTCCCAAATAGTGTGACTCAAAAGAAGCTTGGCTGAAGAAATTTGAGTGAGCAAATATGAAATAATGAATGAGCAAATATGAATGAGTATAATACAAATCCTAAAACAGCTATAAATAAGATTCAGTGCCCTTCCCTCACATAATGTGCTTTATTCTCCATTCTATTCTGATGAAGAATGTTAGCTGAAGTAGATAAATATCAATTATCCACAATAATGGAGACATAAAAAACAAAATAGTACATTGTTTTAGTATACTTATTTGTAATAGTCATTCACTGCATCATTTCTCTCAAGGAAAAGTAGAACCAGATGTTTGATTGCTTTATTGGTCTATCTTAATAATCTTTTTATGTTACCCTTTACATCACAGTTGGTGCTACTTCTGACAAGATAATGGTGGCCTTAAGCGTTATAATCACAGATAACTAGTAAGTTTTACTCTAAAAAAATTAGTATTAGCTAATGTATACTAGGCTCTTTTGGATCAGATCACAGGACCATTTTAATGAACCTGTTAGAGATTTTAGGGTGCCGGGCTAGTTAGGTGAGCTGTTCTTGGGTTATAATCACTGGCAATGTTGTAATCAACAACCCATGTTATTTCTACAACGGCCTCAGATGCACTCCAATATCAGCATCACCAGTCAGTGCCCCCTTTCCATAGCCACCACAAGCACACACGCATGCATACACACTATACTCTATTAAGTACCTATAAAACACTAAACTTATAAGAATTACGTAACATACATATTAAAAATTTCCAGTCATACAACATTCAACACCCAATTATCTCTATTTCATCATTTCCGAGAGAGCCAAAATACCACTTTTCATAATTGGTCTTATATATCAAAAAATAATTTATTAATGCTTGTTATAGAATAAAATTTTTATTTTCTCTTGATGTCTAAATGACAGCTTGTATTAAGAATCAATATTACAGACATTTCTAAGACTCTAATTTTACAAATAAAAACTGCTGACATTTTAAGTGCAATTTATTAAGTAGTATTTAATAGTACTTACTTTATTAATTTTCTCTTTGGGATGTGTCAGGAGTGCTGGGAAGTGTGAAAGAGCATCACAGTTCAAAACTACTTGTGTTTGCTCATCAGTTCCAGTAACAATGTTGCCCACAGCTCTAAGTGCAGCAGTCTGAAATGCACAATGAGATGATGTTCTATGTGAAATACTTTCTTTTTTTTTTTTTTTTTTGAGACAAGGTCTTGCTCTGTCCCCAGGGTGGAGTGCAGTGGTGCAATCTCAGCTCACTGTAACCTCTGCCTCTCAGGCTCAAGCGATCCTTCCACTCTAGCCTCCAGAGTAGCTGGGACTACAGCAGAGCATGACCCTGCCTGGCTAATTTTTGTATTTTTTGTAGACACAGAGTTTCACCATGTTGCCCAGGCTGGTCTTGAAGTCCTAGGCTCAAGGGATCTGCCTGCCTCAGCCTCCGAAAGTGCTGGGATTATAGGCATGGGCTATTGTGCCCAGCTGAAACACTCCTTATTAAAAGGCTTGTTAGGCACCTTATAAAAGATAAATGCATCCATTCACTCATTATTTCTTCCAACAAACTTATTTTTTTTTGAGACGGAGTCTCACTCTGTCGCCCAGGCTGGAGTGCAGTGGCTCGATCTTGGCTCACTGCAACCTCTACCTCCCAGGTTCAAGCGATTCTCCTGACTCAGCCTGCCAAGCAGCTGGGATTACAGGCACATGCCACCACGCCTGGCTAATTTTGTAATTTATTTTTAGGAGAGATGGGGGTTTGCCACGTTGGCCAGGCTGGTCTCGAACTCCAGACTTTGGGTGATCCGCCTGCTTTGGCCTCCCAAAGTACTGGGATCACAGGCCTGAGCCACTGCACCCTGCTCCAACAAACCTATTGTTTTTGAGCACTTACTGTCAGGCACTGATGGAGCAACAGAGATGTGAAGATAGATACATGTTCCAGCTCTTACAGAGCTTATATTATTGTAAGAGAGGAGTCAATAAACAATTAAGAAGGGTAATTTTAGACAGTGCCATAAAAAAAGAAGACAACTTTAGATTTAGTGTTGAAAAAATAAAAACAGCTAGGTGTAGTGGCTCACGCCTGTAATTATAGCACTTTGGAAGGCTGAGGTGGGTGGAACACTTAAGCCCAGGAGTTTGACACCAGGCTAAGCAACATGACAAAACTCTGTCTCTACAAAAAATTAGCTGGGTGTGGTGGCACGAGCCTGTAGTCCCAGCTACTCGGGAGACTGAGGTGGGAGGATTGCTTGAGCCTGGGAGGTCCAGGCTGAAGTGAGCTGTGATCACACCACTGTACTCCAGCCTGGAGAACAGAGTAAGACCCTGTCAAACACAAAAAGACAAAAAACATAGTGCTTTTCTGAAGGAAAGCAGACACCTGCTTAATATGAGATTTCACTATGGTATGAATTTGAATTATCGATTATTTTTCTGTGGTTGCATGAGGTCATTTCCCGTTAAGTAAAGCTTTTTACTCTAATTTTCCTTTCTACATGACAAATGATCCAAGTTTTGGAAAAAATTGAGATATAATTCATGTAACATAAAATTTACCCTTTCAAAGTGTACAATTCAGTAGTTAATATATTCAGAGTTGTGTAACTATTACAAGTATCTAATTCCAGAACACTTTTTGATCACCCCCAAAAGAACACCTGTATCCATTAGTAGTCACTCCCACACTGCCTTCATCCCTAGGCCCCTGGAAGACAGTATGCCTGTCTTTAAGATTTTGGCTATCTTGGGCACTTCATATTAACAAAATCAAAACGTATTTGGCCTTTTGTGTCTAGCTTCTTTCATTTCACATAATGTTGTAAAAGGTCATGTTACAGCATGCATCAGTACTTCGTTCCTTTTCATGACCAAATAATATTTCACTGTGTGAATGTATCATATTTTATTTAACCATTCACTGGCTGACAGACATTCAAATTTTTTTCATTTTTTAGCTATTATAAATAACACTGCTGTGAATGCTTGTGTACAAATTTTTGTGTGGATATGCATTTTCATTTCTCTTGGGTATCTACCTAAGAGTAATTAATAGTCAGTTCATATTGTAACCTTATGTTTAACTTTTTCAGGCACTGCCAAAACTATATTCCAAAGCAGCTGTACCATTTTATATTCTCAACAGCAGTATATACGAATTCTAGTTTCTTACACCCTCACCAAAAGTTTGTTATTGTCTTCCTAACTATAGCTTACATCCTGGTAGGTGTGAAGTAGTATCTCACTGTGGCTTTAATTTGTATTTCCTTAATGACTAATGATGTTGAGCTTCTTTTCATGTGCTTACTGACCATTTGTTATATCTTCTTTAGAAGCCTGTTTACTCAAATATTTTGCCCAGTTAAAAACTGAGTTGTCTATTTTTGAGTAGTAACAGTTCTTAATATATTAAATATTTTAGATGTAAATCCCTTTGCCAATACATAATTTTCTAATACCTATTCTCTTCCATTCTATGTGTTGTCTTCTCACTTTCTTGATGGTGTTCTTTGAAGCACACACACGTTTTTAAGTTTTGTGAAGCCTGACTTATCAATTCTTTTTCTTTGGTTGCTTGTGGTGTCGTATCTTAGAAGCCACTGTCTCATCTACGGTCACAAAAATTTATGCCTGTATTTTTCTTCTAAGAGGTTTACATTTTTAGATTTTATGTTCAGGTGTTTGATCTATTCTCAGTTTTTGCATATAGTATGAAGTAGGGGTCCAACTTCATTATTTTACTTGTCGATATCCAGTCGTTCTTCCCCATTTGTTGAAAAGGTTATTCTTTCCCCAATGAATTGGCTTGGTATCCTTACTGAAAATCAACCGGCCGGGCAAGGTGGCTCACGCCTGTACTGCCAGCACTTTGGGAGGCCGAGGTGGGTAGATCACCTGAGTCAGGAGTTCGAGACCAGCCTGGCCAACACGATGAAACCCCGTCTCTACTAAAAATACAAAAAATCAGCCGGGTGTGGTGGCAGGCACCTGTAATCCCGGTTACTTGGGAGGCTGAGGCAGGAGAATTGCTTGAACCTGGGAGGCGGAGGCTGTAATGAGCCGAGATCGTGCCATTGCACTCCAGCCTGGGCAACAGAGCAAGGCTCTGTCTCACCAAAAAAAAAAAAAAGTAAATCAACTAATCATAAAATGTATATTTCTGAACTCTTGATTCTATCTCACTGATCTGCATATCTATATTTATGCCAGTATCACAAAATTTTATTTACTGTAGCTTTGTAGTGTTTTGAAAATGAGAAGTCCTCAAACTTTGTTCTTCTTCAAGATCATCTGGCTATTTCTAGGACCCTTATATTTCCATACGGATTTTAAGATCCCCCTTTGTAAAATTCTGTCAAAAACCAAAAGCACATGGGATTTTAAGAGGGATTGCGTTTAATCTGTAGACAAACTTGGGAAGCATGGTCATCCTAATAATATCAGACAATCCATGAACATGAATGTCTTTCCATTTATTTAGGTCTTCTTTAATGTCTTCCAAAAATGTTTTGTAGTAATCCAGCTTCTTTAACAAATAAATGGAAAAGAGGAAAGATAAAAGAAAGGAAAAGAAAGTTGCACAGTAAAAGAGGCTTAAAATATATAGCCAGTAGATGCAGCACTGTATGGTCTTTGTCTGGATACTGATTTAGTAAAATTGTGAAAAAATAATGAAGCAGTAAATAAAATCCAGATACTGACTGAATATTTAACACTAAGGTTTTAAAAAGTCTACAGGTGGTATTGTGGTTATGCTAAAAAATAGGCTTAAATTTTAGAGCTGCAAGCTGCGTAAAATGATATCTGGAATTTGTATCAAAATAAATTTGGAGGAGATACAGAGAAAAAAGCTACATGGGGTTCCACTACACTATTTTATTTTATGATATTATGGCATGAAAGTTAAAAAGTATAAGAAAATCTCTATAAGGTGTCAAGTAGAGTAGAGAATTTCAACTTTCCTTGAGCACTGGCTAAAGGTAAATTCCAAGCCCTATAGATTCTTAATGAAGTCCATTAGGAAAACTGAAGATACATTCTGGAAAAACAAAAAACAAAATACAAACCAAAATTCTGTACCAAGACATAAGTACCACACAAAATAAATACAAACTTAAGAACAAACATATGGCCAGAATATTTAAGATAAGTCATAAATACCCTTAAATGACAAATTCTTTTCTTTTTTTTTTTTTTTTGAGATGGAGTCTTGCTCGGTTGCCAGGCAGGAGTGTAGTGGTGTGATCTCAGCTCACTACAACCTCTGCCTCCTGGTTTCAAGCGATTTCCCTGCCTCAGCCCCGTGAGTAGCTAGGTCTACACGCGCATGCCACCATGCTGGCTAATTTTGTTGTTGGTGGTGGTGGTGTATTTTAGTAGAGACAGGGTTCCACCATGTTGTCCAGGATGCTCTCAATCTCCTGACCTTGTAATCTGCCCACCTCGGCCTCCCAAAGTGCTGGGATTTCAGGCAAGAGCCACCATGTCGGGCCAAATTATTATATTAATTCTTTCTGTATTTAGCTAAGTGTTCTTTCTTTAAAGTGCTTTTATTTTAAGGTACTGGGTCTCTATCTATGTATCAGTATCGCCTGAAGAGCATTTTAAAGTTCAAGTTTCTAAGAAATATTTTCTGAAACAGAATCTCCACGGGTTGAACAAGAGAAATTAAAAACATATTCTTTAAGCTCCACACATTTGCATTTGATGTTCAGGCATAATGACTTAGGCTACAGACTAACAGTTTTTCTTATGCGATCATTGTACTTTACAGATTCTAAGCCATTAGCAGATTAAAATATACTATTTACTTCAGAAAGGTAAGAGGAGCTTGCTGCATCTCCTCCATTACAACTGTGGCTTGACAGCTACTGCTTATATCTCTGAGAACTTCTCATACTGTTTTTGGCTCTTTCTAGATGCAAGTTCTTTGGGATAACTATTATGTGAAAGAATTTAAACAATAAAAAATAAATTTAAATAAGTGAAAAGGAACAATTTAGAAAGCCCCTAAACAGCACATTTCAGTACAGTGCCCTTATTTCAGCATCAATGAAGTTAAGAGTTAACTAAACTTGCCAGGTGAGTAAAAAAGGATGCCTGGCAAGGAGGACAAAGGTAAAAGTAGGGAAGTGACGGAAGAACAAAAAGAGGAAGAGTAGGCAAAATTAAGTGTCTGTCAATACTTGTTTCAGATGCCATGCATGTTGCTATAATGAACTTCCCTGGTCTACATTAAAAATAAGTAATCCGGCCAGGCACGGTGGTTCACACCTGTAATCTCAGCACTTTGGGAGGCTGGGGTCGGAGGATCATTTGAGGCCAGGAGTTCAAGAACAGCCTGGCCAACATGGCAAAACCCTGACTCTATCAAAAATAGAAAAAAATTAGCTAGGCACGATGGTGTGTGCCTGTGATCCCAACCACTCAAGAGGCTGAGGTGGGAGAATGGCTTGAACCTGGGAAGTGGAGGTTGTAATGAGCTGAGATCACACCACCTCACTTCAGCCTGGGTGACAGTGAGACCCCATCTCAAAAAAAGAAATTAGTAATCTACAATGGACTCTTCTTGCTTATTATTTATTTTCCTCTTTCCATCACAGATTTGTTGTTATGCTAAGGATATATTTTAAACTACTGAAACTGTCCATCTTTGAATGCCATGCTTAAAGCAATTAGTGGTAAGAAACACTTATAATTTTACTAAGAACAAACTTACCTGAACTTTAACTTCCTGGTGGCTGAGCAGAGGAACCAAATGAGGAACTATTCCAGAGTCTATTACCATCTGTATTTGTTCATTGCCAGCATCAGTAAGGTAAGAGAGGGCCCAGACTGTATCTACCAATATCTAGTGAATAAAATAAAAATTCAATCAACTTTTAAATATTTTCTCATTTTAGTAATTCTTGACCAAACAATGATTCTAAGATTGTTCAACTACCTTCTTCCTTTCTTTCTTCTCTCAGTTCAATTCATTTGAATCTGATCGCTATTGTATTAAACGTCATCATCTATAAATGTCTGTACTAAGATGAACATCTTTTAGCCATATTCAGGATTCCGATCCCAGATTAGTATCCAATCTTAGTTCACTAAGATACACATGCACACTACACAGCTCATAAAACAGGAGAAAAAGACATTCTCTTTCCCAAAGGCTGAGGGATAATAGGTCCAAAAACATTGTGGCTCATGTATAAAGCTGGAAAGACTACATGTCTCCAATATGCACAGTTGCTCAAAACATCTGGGCTAGATGAATATATTCAAGGAGTTCTCTAGTATCATAAGTACCATGTAGATATGCCTAAAGCCAATAACCCAAGCATTCGTATTACAGTATTATAATATAATAGTTAAATCTTTTCCAACCAGTTTGTTTTGCCTTATAGAACTGGAGGCAACTTTTTTTTTTTTTTTGAGATGGAGTCTTGCTCTGTCGCCCAGGCTGGAGTGCAGTGGTGTGATCTCGACTCACTGCAAGCTCTGCCTCCTGGGTTCATGCCATTCTCCTGCCTCAGCCTCCTGAGTAGCTGGGACTACAGGCACACGCCACCACACCCCGCTAAGTTTTGGCATTTTTTAGTAGAGACGGGGTTTCACCGTGTTAGCCAGGATAGTCTCCTGACCTTGTGATCCGCCCGCCTTGGCCTCCCAAAGTGCTGGGATTACAGGCGTAAGCCACCGCGCCCGGCCAGCAACTTCTTAAATAGTGGAAGTCCCCTACAGCTGCAAGACATTAATCATAGGTCAATCTGTGAGATGAGATCTGTAATTAAAACAAAAAATACGTACTTCACTACAGCTGCTACTTACGGAAAAAAAAAAAAAAAAATCTGTGTAATCAACTTCTACTAAATAGCCTACTATTTTTTTAATGATTATATCTTTAAGTACAACGGGCCATTGTTTGATCTTTCCTAGTACGTTAAGTCCTAATTAGAAGTTATGACCAAAGGGCAGTATGACAAACAACTGTAACTGCTGCAAATAAATACACAAGTTATTGACAAAGACACGGGAATAATAATTGTGCCTAAAACTACTTCCAAAGCCTTTCTAGATTATGAACTCTGTGTCAAGACAAGCTGGAGAAGTATACAATCTTTAAAACTGTAAACCAGGCAGGGATTGGTGGCTCACGCCTGAAATCCTAGCACTTTGGGAGACCAAGGCGGTGGACTGCTTGAGCCCAGGAGTTTGACACCAGCCTGGGCAACACGGTGAAACCCCGTCTCTATGAAAAACACAAACAATTCGGCATTTTATTTTCTTGTTTTTTAAGACTCCGACTTTAAAAAAATAGTAAAACTGTAAACTAATGTTATGTTTAAGACACTCAAGAGAAAATAAAAAAATAAAAAAACATTAAAAAAAAAAAAAAGACACCCAAAAACTCCTAAAAGGAGAAAATAGCGCTTTGCCATTGTTTCTTAGGAAATTCAAGAAAGCGCTAAAGATATTTCTAATGTAAAAAGAAGATATCAAACAAAAGAGTTTGCACAGGCCGGGCGTGGTGGCTCACGCCTGTAATCCCAGCACTTTGGGGGGCCGAGGCAGGTGGATCACGAGGTCAGGAGTTCAAGACTAGCCTGGCCAACATACTGAAACCCTGTCTCTACTAAAAAATACAAAAAAATTAGCCAGGTGTGGTGGCGGGCATCTGTAATCCCAGCTACTCTGGAGGCTGAGGCAAGAGAATCGCTGGAACCCAGGAGGTGGAGGTTGTAGTGAGTGGAGATCATGTCTCTGTACTCCAGCCTGGGTGACAGTGCGAGACTCCATCTCAAAAAGAAAAAAAAAAAAAAGAGTTCACCCAGAAAGAGTGGTATTAACGTATGTGAAAAAACCTAAATTTCAATTTGCAAACGTAACTGAGTTTCTTTTCTGGAATATCAACATATGCTAAAATTTGTTGACATAGGCCAAAAATTTCAAGTTACTTGCTCATAACTGTATATAAAAGCTAGATACATGTTTTTAAAGGACATGTCACTAATATGCTCAGATCAAAATCAAAATTCAAATCAAACTTCTAAAACATTATTTAGTAAGCAATATTATTTGTTAATCATGTTACTAAAAAGAATGATGCAAACAGACTTGAGAAATTCTTCAAGAAACATCAAAGGCAAGAAAATAAGAGTCACAATCTCATCTAGATTGGAGGAAATAGGTGGAAAGAACACAATACATCTCTAAATAAAGTCAACCAAGATGTTCTGTTTTCCAGTAGAGGTATAAACTTTGAAGTTAATCTCTCTCTCTCTCCCTCTCTCTCTCTCGACAGGGTCTTGCTCTGTCACCCAGGCTGCAGTACAGTGACATGATCACAGCTCACTGCAGCCTTGACTTCCCAAGCTCAGGAGATCCTCTGGCTTCAGCCACCGAGTAGCTGAGACTACAGGTGCACAACACTATGCCTGGCTAATTTTTTTGTATTTTTTATAGAGACGGGGTTTCATCATGTGGCCCAGTCTGGTCTCGAACTTCTGCACTCAAGTGATCCTCCTGCCTCAGCCTCCTAAAGTGCTGGGACTATAGGCATAAGCCACCACACCTGGCCTCTTGTAAATCTTTCAAAGCAAAATATTATGTAACTGTTTGATACAGTAAAATTCTAATTTTAATTTGTTCCAGACAAATTAAATTCTGGCCAAAAGGTACAGGCCTTTAAATTGTAAAGAAATGAAGCAGCTTGTCCAACACTGGTCACCATGCCAAACTGTTTTTAAAGAACCACATGAGTTCCTGATTGTTGCTAAACATTTCATTCATGTGTCTTCCCTTACCCAGTATATTCCTGGTTTCTCTAACACACCAAAGGCTGGTCTGGCTTTTACAAGCACTCAGGGCAGTTTTCCACCTCATTCATACTCCCTGAGTTGCTTTTTCCTCTGCCATCTGTGTTAGTAAAAATAAGCAAAATATATTTGCTATGTTTAAAATCTTGCCTGCACTGATTTTTTTTTCCTTGCTGTTTGAATAATCAAGAGTTATCTTGATAAATGAAGCCACTGCCAGTCACTGTAACTGAGAAATAGAATAAAAAATGGAATTAAAGGGCAATTGATGTGCATGGTTTGGTATGTGTATATGAATACAAATCCATGCACAAACATTTTCCTTTTTCATCTTTCAAAAAACAAAAATAGCACTATCTGTGTGTGCATTCATTGGCCAAACTGTCAAAATGAGCTTCCTTTATAAAAAGCACATGAACAATCAAAGACATGATCTTAGTAAGAGAAATCACTACTAACTGGCAACTTTAAAAACTTTTAATGTCAGTTTTTACAACACTAATATATATATATACATACATTATTGCCCACACCAAAATAACAGTTATGCTTGATTTCTTAACTGGTATTATATTTCGTGATATGGGAAAATCTGACAGTATGCTGACACAATGTGTTAGTACAGTATTTCTCCCCTATGTCACAGGGGAAGCCCTAGAAATACATATATACATAAATATATAATGGGACACATTTACTCACATTTACGTCTGTGTGATGAATTAAAACACAAAGGGCTGGAAGAATCTGAGGAGAGAAATATGTAGATTTAAAAACATACACAGATAAAAAACACATATATAATGGTATCTCTTTTAATTTTTTTTTAAGTGTTTACCTCCTGAATGGTTTCCATTGGTGGTGGTGGGTCTTTGTGGCGACATAAGTTGACCATAACCCAAGTAACATTTCTTAAGAATGTTATAGGAATAGATGGACTTATGAAGGAAAGTAAAGGTTTCACAACTCCAAGACTTATGACATAATCTCTACACTGGGGCCCATCACCTGTAGAAAAAAAGGATTAACTCAATAAAACATTGACAGTAAGCATTTTCAGAAAACACAAAGCACTGGGAATACGCTGCTTCATGTATTTTAACCAGATACACTGTTCAGTTTTAGACAATAAGCAGGCTCCCATTCAAGATTTCTGAGCCAAGAGAGGCAACATGAGGTGATACGGTATTCTTTTGCACATTATTCCCATCTTCAGCATTTTGCTGCTCACTTAATTAAACTGCTGCTTTTAACTTCTCTCTCAATATTACTCTCGGTTTAACAAACTTTCATGTGATAAAAAAGATGTATCAAGAAAACATTTGTTGAATTTGTACTTACGATCCAGTATCAGAGCATCAAGGTTAAGAACTATAAATTACTCTATACACTTAGAAAACTATGTCAGAAAAAAAGGGTGAACCAGTGCTAGAACAGTGGTTCTCAATATGATTACTGGGCTCTAGCTCAGGCCTCCTGAAGCAGAAACTCTATGGGTCTGGAATTCTGTGTTTTAACAAGCACCCCATGTAGTTCTGATTGCATGCTAAGGTTTGAGAACAACTGCTGCAGAGAACTGACAAGTTTAATTTCTGTATCTAAAGCATCACTGCAGTTTCTAATATATGAAGCCATGTTAAAAGGTTACCATAAGTGAAAACACCTTCGCTTGCACTATAATATTTGGAAATAAAATGTTTGTTCTTTTTGCATCCATATATTTGTGTTAATTACAGAATGTGATTGGAATAAAAAATGAAAGATCAAGATGCTGTATAATAGCTCTAAATCTAACATTTGGTATAAAAGCAAGAGTGAGGGACTCTGGATATAGAAACAATAGCATTCCTAATAGTATAAACCCAATGTCGAGAATGGTTTACAGGGAAATTCTCCTTTAAAAACTCATAGCCACTCCTTACTTCCATGTTAGCCCTGTGTAAGGGCAATAAAGAGGTGGCATATCAAAGTAACAATGATTATTTCCATGCAAGAATAAAGAATTTGGCAAAAATAATCTTTAGAATCATTCTCCTTTACTAGATTAGCAAGACCCCTACAAACAGTACCTCAACCCTCACGCATAATAGTTAGGTCTCTGAGCTATACTGGGGCACAATACGATTCAGATTTTTCACATCCTTTACTGGAGAATAGTTCTTTGAATTTTTGAGTTTAGGCTCTAGTTAAAAAAATAAATTCTTGAAATATCAGAATTGTCTTTATTTTCCTTACAATTATTTATTAGACAGAACCTGAAAGTTATGGTAATCATGGTGTTAAATAGTTAACTAGACTGTCAAAAGGCCATGGTTATCTCATGTTGATTCATGGTGACAGGAAACAATATTACTATATTTTATACCTTACTAAATTCTAATGTGCTAAAGTCTGCAAGAGAGAAAAATTTCATTTTAGACTCTTCTCAGAACTGTCATTATGGAGAAAAATTATTGGTTTAAGTTTTGCCTCCTTCTTTCTTGTTACTTTCTTTGATGGAGAAAGCTGAGAAATAAAAATGGACCCCACTGATCGACGTGGGCATTAGGGGAAGAAAAAATGGATCCTAGCATGAGACAGGAGGTCTAAATTGTATACATCTTGCATAATTATTCAAAAAATTAAGAGCTCACTATATACCAAAAAAAATGGTATCTTAAGCAACAAAAATTTACTATGAGTTTATGCTTTTACAGTAATACAGTTCAAATTTCTGTAAGCTATTTCACAAAAACTAGTACTGAAGGCAAGCTGTTTTCCCTTTTGGATTATTAGTAGCTATTTTTATTACTTAGTATATGAGAACAATTTTTGGACTAGTATTGTATCACAAGTTTTATACAAACCTATGATGTTTCCCAATGCCCACACTGCTTGCTCACAGACATTCTGATGGGGTGAATGGAGAAGCCTCAGGAAAAGTGGCACAGCATCTGATGCAGGAAAAAATAACAATACTTAAGGTTCAAGATACCATAAACCAAAAATCAGTATTTTTTTGCTGACACTTCAAAAAAAAAGGGAATCTATAAAACTATATTTAAAATATAGCCTCATTAAATGAATTTTATTGGAATAGCATTATTGGAAGAATTTCGACCAGCAACTATTTACTCAGTATCAAAATGAGTTACACAGACAAATGTTAAATTAGGCTTGTGAAATTTCATTGACAATTAAACCTGGAATTAATTTCAAGATTAATTCCTTATAGATTAAGTATTATCTCTAATTTGAAAAAAAAAAAGTACATTATTGAAGTAACTTTTTTTTTTTTTTTTAGACGGAGTCTCGCTCTGTCATCCAGACTGGAAGGCAGAGGTGGAATCTTGGCTCACTGCAACCTCTGCCTCCCAGGCTTCAGTGATTCTACTGCCTCACCCTCCCAAGTAGCTAGGACTGTAGGTGTGAGCCACCACACCTGGCTAATTTTTGTATTTTTAGTAGAGACAGGGTTTCACCATATTGGCCAGGCTAGTCTCAAACTCATGACACTTCAAATGATGTGCCTGCCTTGGCCTCCCAAAGTGCTGGGATTACAGACATGAGCCATTGCACCCAGCCTGAAGTAACTTTTGAACACAAATTTATGTTAACACATGTGGGTCTTTAAGACAGGCTAGTGATTCTTGGGCCATGTGAGATCTTCTGAATCAGAAAGTGATTCTGTTACTCAACTGGATGGGAAACAGAGATACGTCTGTATCCGAACAAAATACTGCACTGAACAAACGATTCTTCTTTCCTTCTGATATTACTTTAAAAAGCACTATTTAAGTATATGTAGCTCAATCATGCTTGTAATAAAAAGTAATTCACTTATGGGTTTGTTTTTGAAGCAGTGCCTCACTCTGTTGCCCAGACTGGAGTTCAGTGGTGCCACCACAGGTCACTGCAGCCTTGACCTCCCCTGGCTTAACTGATCCTCCTACCTCAGGCTCCTGGGTTGTTGGGACTATAGGTGCATGCCACCAAGCCCGGCTAATTTTTTTTTCCTGCATTTTGTAGAGATGGGGTTTTACCATGTTGTCCAGGCTGGTCTCTAGCTCCTGGGCTCCAGTGATCTGCCTGCTTCAGCCTCCCTAAGTGCTGGAATTACTGGCATGAGCCACCACGCCCAACCTCATTTATTTATTATTTTTGGTATATTAAAGCAGACTAGCAAGGTCAAAAAAAATTCTAAGTCTTTTTCTAATCTTTAGAGAACATACATAACGGAATGGAAAAAGTGTGAGAGGGAATAAAACATTGTTACAAAATCATAAAATTTACCTAATAGCTATACAAAACCAAAAAACCACAATAAAAACCACCTGAACCCAAAACTAAACCAGTTTTAATAGGATGTGAGGTAATTATCTTTTCTAAGTAATATTACAAGTGTCTACAATAAAATGATTATTTAGATAACATCTTTGTTCCCCTTCAAAATGTACAAATTAGTGCTTACATTTTTAATAAGCTCAGAGAAGTATGCTGCTTACACATTTAAAGAGGATTTTAAAAGTATCTTCTTCAAAATTATTTATTTTTTGTGTTTGGTAGAAGAACCAAATAGTATTCATGAAGACAATACACTCGGGGTTTTACTTCCAATAGTAATTTTCCACTTACATCTCTTGAAACAAAAAAAAGCAACCCTATTATAGTAACAATGAAAAAAATATTCAAGCCATTCTTTCAACTAGGACTACTTTATAGAAGATTTCTTTAAAATATATGATATGGCCAGGCGTGGTGGCTCACACCTGTAATCCCAGCACTTTAGGAGGCTGAGGCGGGTGGATCATGAGGTCAGGAGATTGAGACCATCCTGGCTAACACGGTGAAACCCCGTCTCTACTAAAAATACAAAAAACTAGCTGGGCGTGGTGGCGGGCACCTGTAGTCCCAGCTACTCGGGAGACTGAGGTAGGAGAATGGCATGAACCTGGGAGGCGGAGCTTGCAGTGAGCCGAGATCACACCACTGCACTCTAGCCTGGGCGACAGAGCGAGACTCCGTCTCAGAAAAAAAAAAGATAAAAATCTCATTGAGAGAGGCTGAGGCCGGGTGTAGGGGCTCATGCCTATAATCCCAGCATTCTGGGAGGCCAATGTAGGTTGATCACTTGAGCCCAGAGTTAGAGACCAGCCTGGGCAACATGGCGAAACCCTGTCTCTACCAAAAAAACACAAAAATTAGTTAGGCACAGTGGCACATGCCTGTAGTCCCAGCCACTTGGTGGACTGATGCAGAACGGTCTCTTGAGCCTGGGAGGCCAAGGCTACAGTGAGCCGAGATTGTGCCACTGTATTCCAGCCTGGGCAAAAGAGTAAGATCTTGTCTGAAAAAGAAAAACAACAACAAAAAAAACAAAAACAAAAAAAGAGAGGCTGAGAGGCAATGTGGCAACAGGAAAAACTCCTTTATTTCTACTGATGTCCTATAAATAAAGTGTAACAATAATAATTTAATCTGCTACTATAATTAGGAAATGTTCTCATATTTAGAAAGGAATCAAGTGAATTTTTGGACATACAAAACATCAGTCACCAGAATAAGAAGATTAAAGCAACATACTTAAGTTGACCTATTTCAATAACTATGTAGTAGCTATTATTTTATAACGTAAATTGCCATAGTTTCTTGGGAAAATCACTATATTTTACTGACTTCTTTTAAAAAAATGCAATTATGTTTGTTAATAACCAACTTACTGGACTGAACTACGGCTTGAGTTTGTTCAGAAGTTCCAGATGCAATGTTTGTCAAAGCCCATGCAGCTTCAAACTGCAAAGAAGGACTACAAAAAAACAAGTATATTTAAACAGCAGGATTTTTACATTGGGCCAAATATCTAACCATTCTTCCCTCTACCATTTCAAATGCATTAAATATTTTGTTTCAAAAGATATCTATCCATCCAGCATATTTTTTTAACCCTCAACAACTGTTTCAAACATCTCTTCAGTATAAAAAGCATACAACCTTCTCCAGCATCCTTAATTTTAGTAAGAAATCTCTTTAAGATACTTGCATACTACTCCCCAAACAGTTCTCTCAAGTACCTACCTGGTCAAACTACTTCTTGCCAATTAAGGCTTAAAAGTTAAACTTATCATTCTCAAGTTCCTGTTTGGCTACTACCTTCATCTCTTGGTGTTAACAAATCTTGCACTGTTTTTCACTTTGACTTTTCAACTCCATCCCTTAGCCCTTTTCTTTTTTCTTTAAAGATCAAACTAATTACTAGAGAGTCTTGTCTTCTCCAAAGGATACATTCTAAATTAAAAAAAAATAATAATGTACTCACTTGTCATCTCTTTCAAGACAATGGACTAAAATGGGCAATATTCCAGATTTTATTAAGTCATCAATTGGTGGATTGCGATCACTGGACAAAAGCTTCCTGTAAGAGATAAAAACACCCTTGTGAAACTTAATAACATACAATATTATGATTAAATTTAAATTCATATTTGACAAATATTAACATAAATCTGAATATCTGGTACAAGTGCCTTCTCTGAAATTAACAATTTATATAATGCAACCTTTTCTCTAAATTTATAAAATGATATATAAATTAAATTTATAGAGATGACAAATAATTAAAAAAATAAGAATATAGATATGAACCACTTTACTACCTTTTTTTGAGATGGAGTCTCACTCTGTTGCCCAGGCTGGATGGAGTGCAGTGGCACAGTCTTGGCTCACTGAAAGCTCTGCCTCGCGGGTTCCAGTGATTTTCCTGCCTCAGTCTCCCGAGTAGCTGGGATTACAGGCATGCGCCACCACACCCAGCTATTTTTGTATTTTTAGTAGAGATGGAGTTTCATCATGTTTGCCAGGCTGCTCTTGAACTCCTGACCTCAGGTGATCCACCCGTCTTGGCCTCCCAAAGTGCTGGGATTACCAGTGTGAGCCCCGGAGCCTGGCCACTTTACTACTTTTAATGGTACAATAATATTATTCCCTCAGTAAAGCCCTGATTGTGACTTATAAAAAGAAAACTATTTTTTTTTTTTAAATGTTACTTTTGGACATAATTTTGAGTTCAGAGAAAAAAATGGGCAGATTTCTTCAACACAGCATTTACCTTGCTAAGCAAGGAATTAAGAGGTCACCAAAATATCCAAAATTATTCACACTACGTCACAATAGAGTCAAGTGACGAAAGCAGGTAGGCTGCTGGAATATGTTTAGAGCTGATATTAGTCCCTAATTCTTCATTCTAGTTTACACACCAAATTAAAAGTCATAAAAGTCCAACAACATTTTCATCTCAGCAACTAAAGAGAAATGGAATAAGCACAGCAACTGACAGGAAAACAGCCAGAGAGATGCTAGAGAATCTGAGGTAAAAAAGACAGACACATCACTGCTTTCATGGAGCTTATAAGATAAAAACAAAACCTACTGCCTATTTTCACATGTATGAGACTACAGGTTTAGCTGATAAGTCCTCAGTGTAGCCTAATCATATCTTCACCCACTGGAATACCCTGTATTACTGTATAAAAGCAATGTTTATGAAAGCTTAACCAAATCATGTCCCTATATAAACTTTGTGATGGCTGCTTATTTACCACCTTTATCAATGTAAACTCCTTGACCTAGCTTTAAACTACTTCACAAGTTGGCTCCATCTTATAACTAATCTTATTCTCTGTAACTCAACAACAGGTTAGTTGTCTGTCGCATCATTTCAATCGAAATAAGATTGAACCTATCCTAAACCCCTCACTTGAAATGCCCCGTCTTCTATGTATTCAAACTCTATTCAAAGTTCAAGTTCTGTGTTTTACATAATACCATCTTTGAATTTCAAGAGGATTTATACAGCATAGCCCTACATTTGGTGTTATCACTACTTATTTTTTTGAGACAGGGTTTCAGTCTGTCACTCAGGCTGGAGTGCAGTGGTGCTACCTCGGCTCACTACAACCTCTGCTTCCCAGGTTCAAGCACTTCTCCCACCTCAGCCTCCCAAGTAGCTGGGATTACAGGCATGTGACACTACACCCAGCCAACTTTTATATTTTTAGTAGAGATGGGGGTTTCACCATGCTGGCCAGGCTGGTCTCAAACTCCTGACCTCAACTGATCCCCTGGCCTCGGCCTCCCAAACTGCTGGGATTACAGGCATAAGCCACCGCACCCAGCCCCCTATTTTTTTGAATACAGTTTTGCCTTTCCAATTAGCTTATAAAATTCTTAAAAAGAAAGAATTATACCACATGCTAGTTCCTCAACACACGGCACAGTGCTTAGCATAAGTGGAAATTAAAAAAAACAGAAAAACGAAAAAACAAATACTTAGAAAGAGTCTTAACCCAGTCTTAAACCTTCTCAAACAAAGCTTCATGAGATCAAGAGTCAAAATTTAATTAAAAAAATTTTTTTTTTACACTTCACTGAGGATATTTTAAAAGAGAAATGGCTTTTATTCTCTACATAATGGTGAATAATACAATTTTTACAAAATATAATATAAAACCAGCTTCATGCCACTGTCTTGATTTGTACTAAGGAACCTGCAATTTTACTCACAGTTGCTTTGCAATACCAGTGTAAACGTTAACACAGTGAAAAAAAGGCAAATAAAGTCTTAGAATTATTATGAAAACCAGTTTGCTCTTGCATACCCCATGAAATTGCCTTGGAATCTCCCAGTGATTCACAGATCATACTCTGAAAACCTCTTAGAGTACACTGGGCTTTAATTTTCTTGCAGATTGCATGTTGATTAGAACTGCCCCAAAACTATCAAGTATTCAACTCTGACAACGATGAGCATAATCAATTTCTTAATCATTCTTCCTATAAACATTAATTTGCTATTTTGACAAGTGAATGGTTCTGTGATTTTTCTGCCTACATAAAGAATTCCTCTCTAAGAAGTTCTTTTACCTCTGGTATACAATACTGTAATTTTATAATTTCCCTATCAGTTCTAAGTTATTTAAGGTAGAGAAACAAATACTGGAAAAGTCTATTAAATATAAAACAGATTTGTGCAGCACTGTATAAGGTATTGGATGGACCTATAAACTTTTGCCACTTTCAAATTCTGTAACTAGGATCAATTGCTTACTTGTCTCTTTCCTACTGATAAACTCAACATAGGGTGTTATTCTTACATTCATAAATACACAAAGCAACCACTAAATTGCATTATGATACAACCATGTCTTCCCCAACCTATTTATTAACACAAAGGTCTCAGTAATAGATTTTTCTGCCTCTTCCCTTAAAATATGAGAGAGCACAGGTTTCACAATAGAAATGTACAAAACAGGCAGGGTACGGTGGTTCATGCCTGTAATCCCAGCACTTTGGGAGGCTGAGGCGGGTGGATCACGAGGTCAGGAGTTCAAGACCAGCCTGGTCAAGATGGTGAAACTCTATCTCCACTAAAAAGACAAAAATTAGCCGGGCATGGTGGCGGGCGCCAGTAATCCCAGTTACTTGGGAGGCTGAGGCAGAGAACTGCTTGAACCTGGGAGGCAGAGGTTGCAGTGAGCCGAGATTGCACCACTGGACTCCAGCCTGGGCGACAGAGAAGACTCCATCTCAAAAAAAAAAAAAGAATGTTCAAACAACTTGGTACTTCCTACCTGGAAAGACACTGGGAGTGTATGCAGTTATTAATCTCTTTTTTTGAGATGGAGTTGCGATTCTACTGCCTCGGCCTCCCGAGGATCTGGAATTACAGGTGACCGCCACCACGCTCAGCTAATTTTTGTATTTTTAGTAGAGATGGGGTTTCACTATATCGGCCAGGCTGGTCTCGAACTCCTGACCTCATGATCCGCCCGCCTCGGCCTCCCAAAGTGCTAGGATTACAGGCGTGAGCCACTGTGCCCAGCCGTCATTAATCTTAATCTACATCTACTTGTCTATGTACACTGACATAGTAAGATTGTAATTCTGGATTTATTGTTTGATCAATATGAGGATTGTGAGAAGAATTAGATACCTGGTAAGGATCTGAAGAATCTGACTTTATAAAATTAAACCTATTCATTAGTAAAAGGTAAAGCTTTACAAATAATGTTTTTTTCTTTTTATTTCTACGGCATTAATTTGTTAAATCAACTTTCCCTGGCATCTGCATGCATTATGTACATTAAAGCTTCAGTGTACACACTTTCAACTAAAAATAAAAAGTGTGAGTTAAAAAAACTGTCACCAATTTTAATACTCTAAACCAGAGAATTAAAAAAAATAATAAATTTAGTTGATCTATTACTATTTACTATTGTTTGTCATCAAAGTTAAATTTGATTAACAGGGTCTACTCCATAGTAAAAATTCAAAACAGAACCCCTGTGTAAGTTATAAAATCTAAACATGTCTTCAAAATTTAACTTACCTAGCAGCTTGAACTGCACTTAACTGAATTCCTTGGTTATCACTTGAAGCATTCTATAAAAAAAAAAATTTATGATGTAAATATATAATAATTAGCTGCTGAGGATAAGAAATACAAATGAAGAGAAAGTAAAAATCCAACTTACTTGAACAATAGCTTCTAGAGAGGTATTTTGCTGGGAAAAAAGTTAAAGAGAAAACTCAGTTAAAAAGTCACCTTAAAATTCTTTATTAATGTTAAATCTTTCACTGGTACTTTTAATTTACCAGAATAACAATGACAATAACTTACCACTCTATAATCACCATCTATATCAGAGTCTTCACAGATATCTTCATGTGGTACATTCCTTCTCTTTAAGAGATGTTCATCTCTTTTATTCTTAAAAAAAAAAAAAAAAAAGAAAAAGATCAAACAAAGAATTTGAGTTAAAAAAACCTGAATACTTTCATACAAAGCTCAGGCAAACCTGTGCCTACAAACTGAAATATGAAGTGCCTTTTAAAAGTAAAATTCAAATGTAAAAAATTAAACCAAATTGTGAATTAACCACTCACACAAAACTAATTTGAGTCCCAATTCCCAAATATTACATTTTTAATGAACCGTGAACTATGTAAAAACAAACAAAACAAAAAGTTTGACTAAAAAATACAGTGTACAGTTTAAGCCAGAACCAAACACAAATATTTATTTAAAAGTACTAAACCATTTTACACATGATCTGGGAGCTCCTCTTTATCACCTAAAAGCAAAGTCAAAGCAGAAGTTGGGCAGTTCAAAGTTAGACAAAAACCAACAATGTCTTACAAAAATCAAGGGCCATTTCAACTTCACTTAAAATGCTGGGAGCAAATTTATAAATATAATCTCAACTATAATACTTAAAAGTTGAAGAAGTTTGCAACAAGTTCTTTTCAGGGCCTTACTACTGCCCGTTAATAGCAGAACTATTTAATATAACTGTATCTCAATGACTTATACTTTAAGCTCTTTATATCTGTTTTTACACAATGATAAAGTTACAAGGTGTACCTTTTCAACTTCAAAAGTTTGTCAAATTTAGTCAAAACCTCTCCTTTTTCTAAAGAAAAATGCTTAGCAGTTGAGATTTTTAAAAGTTTAAATTTAGTAAATAAAATTTAGTTATAAAATAAGTTATACATTTTACACAAAAACAAAATATATATTTGGCATCTTCTATACAATGCTCTAATGTTGTTGGAATTATGCTTAGAAGTACCCAATATTAATCAGACTCACCTTCCTTAATTCAACTACAACTTCATTTCGTTGTCTTCTCATAGTCTACAAAAAAATTAAAGGAAAATATTTTTAAAATCACCTCAAATTCCATTATCCAGAGAAAACCACTATTAACATTTCAATATACGCCTCTGATCTTTTCTTCTAGCCATATGGATATAAAGTCAAATCTTACTCATAATAAAAATCATACTATGTAAATGATTTTCAATCTTCATTTCCCATTCATACTGCAAAACATGAAAAATCTCTTTGAAATTATTAATAGATCTATAATATTGGCTATATCATAATTTTAAAAACTATAACATAAGGTTTATAAAAACACAGAGGTACAAAGAATAAAAGAGCCCATAATCTCACCCCTCATATGAACCAATGATATTACAAAAAATAACACATGTACAAGATTAGTAAATTCAACTGCTTTAAAAAAAAAAAAAAAAAAGCCAAAAAAAAAAAAAGCCAAAGGAGCCCTCCTGCTCACCCACAATTTCCTTCTCTCATAGGAAACACTGTTAGATTTACCACGATTCTGACACACGTCTGTCTATCCTGTTCTTTACCTTGTTTTGGTTTACTTTGTTTATAGACCTTAGAGATATTCCATGGTGGTGTATAAAGACCTATTTCATTATTTTTCATGGCCACACAATTATTCTATGACACACAGTGGCCATTCTTTTATTTTCAAATATATTTTTCTCATTTTTAAAATTACTTACTACAGGGATGTGTGCTCACTGCAAAACTGAATGTTCAGAAACAATATAAGTTCAATCTGTTTTCACATACAGGTTCATCTTATTCTTTCTAATGATTGTGTATTATGTAGCGGTAACAATTCAGAAAGTCATATTAGATGTCTAATAAATATCACAAACCTAAATCCAAAACTGAACTTCTGATCTTTAACATACTCCACCTGCCATCTCAGCAAATGGCAATTCCATCCTCGCAGCTGCAAAGACCAAAAACCTTGGAGCCATCCTTGACTTTTTTTCTCTTACATTACATATTCAATCTGTTAGCAAATCCTGTTGGTTCAACCTTCAAAACATACAATCCAAACACAGATCACTGCCTCCTCTGCTACTATTCTGGGTCAACTTACCATTATCTCTCAACTAGATAACTGCAAAAGTCTCCTAACATGTAGCCCTCCTGCTCTTGCCCTCTATCTTCCTCCAGAGTCTATCATAATGACAGCAACTAGAGCAATCCTCATAGGACTCATAAGGAGTCTTAATTTTTATGTGCCATGGACTCCTCTGGCAGTCTGGTATAATCAATGGACACCTTCTCAAATAGTGTTTTTAAACACAGACACACTATATATGTAGTTACAAAGGAAACTACCTTGATACACAGATGTAAAAAAGAGAGCTGTAAACATTAAAAAAAAGTGTAAGTGCCTCTTTATTACCACATTAAATGGGATCTCAGCAGTAGGTCTAATAACTACTATAATTTCAAAGTAATGATGACCATAAATGCAACAACGAGGTGATTTTTATTGGTGGTAACAAAGTCACAGGTAATTCTAATATTACTATGATTAACTGGCTACATTAAGTGAAGGAAACACTGTTTCAGTTATAAGTTAGTGAAAATATAAGATACAATTTCTTCTAAATTTCAGGGGCCCTCCTGAATTCTACCCATAGACTTCAAGGACGGAAAGGTCCAAGGACTCAGTAAAAAATATTTTCTAAAAGTCAGATCATATGATCTTCCTGTTCAAAAATATCCAAAGGCTCTCACACGCTCCACTTTGGACTTAAAAGCCCAGTCTTTACAATGGCTTATGTCCAGTCAAATCTTCCCACCTCATTCCCTCCCCAAATACCACCGTTTGAATCTTAGCTCCTACCTATCTCATTCTGCTGTACTCACACCAACTTCGCTATTTCTTGAACAAACTGGAAAGTCTCTTGTTGCAAGGCCTTAACTAATACACTATATAGTAACTTCTCAGAAGATGGTCTCCAGAGTCAAACTGCCCGGGTTCAATTTTTTTTTAGCCATACTACTTACTAGCTCTTTGTACTTCAGTTTCCTTATCTATAAAATTGGGATAGTAAAAACACCTTCTTCATAGGACTGCTGTTAAGGATTAAATCAGCTAAAATATGTAAAGTACTTAAACTGTCCCTGGTACACAGCAGTGTGTGTGTTAACTTATTATTATTGCTGCTGCTATTTCCTCAGTTTGGAATGCATTTCCCCTACTACCTGCAGTGCTCAGTCCCTTATCTCTATGGGAAGGCTTTTCCCTTCCTGACCATCTGCCAACTCTCCATTTGGGTACTTTCTCTTTCTCTTTCTCTCTTTCTCTTTCTCTTCCCTGCCTTATTTATCTCTATATACCATGTAACTGTATTTGGTACAGATATTTTTCTAATCTGTATGTATTCTAATACATGCAGATATATATATATATCTAATATACCATGTAACTGTATTTGGTACAGATATTTTTAAAACACCAAGAGTCAACTTTAAAATAATAAAATAGGCTGCAAAATGAGTAAAAATAATTAGCTAAATACTACAGTGTTAACATCTATCTCATTTAATCATTATAGCCTTATGAGGTAAGAATAAAATAATCCTTTATTTCTTTTTAAAAATAAGAAAACTGAGACTTAGAGAAGTTAAATTGCTTGTCCAAAGCTGGCTAGGATTACAACCCAGACAGTCTCACACAAATCCGCTTAACCACCAAGCCATATTGTTTTCCACACTTCTCAAAGTCAAAGTTCAAGTGAATTGGAGAGCCAATCGTTCACACTAAAGCAAAAGTACTATTACCAACACAATGAACTTTGCATAATATCACAATATGAAATCAATAAGCGATTCTAACAACGAAAAACTATGACCTATGTCTCAGGCACAGAAAATAGTATCTGTAGGATGCATGACTTAAGACTGTTCAACAAATAAATAGACTTCTGAGGGATGGGGTATTTCCAGTTTAAGGAAAGTTTTTATTAGCAATCACTTCATCTAAAGTAGCAGGATTAAGGTACAATGGGCTTTAACTTCTTTTCATTAGAGCAAACTAATAAATAAATCCCAAACAACTACATACTGCATTTACATAAATGTTTTGTTTACCCCCCAAAATTTTCTCCCATTATATTACATATTTATTAAATCCAGAGATTTGCGAAAAATTTTCTTTCTTTTTTTTTTTTTTTTTTTTGAGACAGAGTCTCACTTTGTCACTCAGGCTGGAGTACAGTACAAGGATCTCGGTTCATTGCAACCTCTGCCTTCCAGGTTCAAGTGATTCTCTTGCCTCAGCCTCCTGAGTA